TCAAAGAACAATGCAGCTTACAAAGATTTCTTATTACGTTTATTTATGATCCTCAATTCTTTAGTACCTAACACACTGATCACACTTCCAAGGATGTCCTTGTCTTTAACGCACTCTGAAGAGTGTGGTTAGTACATTTGAATGGATAGTCTAAAAGGGACATGTTTAAAATATTAAAAGCAGAAATAATCCTTTTCAATCTCTCTTAGGCCAATTTGCTTGGATTTATAAGGAGTTAAAATCTAAAATATGGTTACTTGAGGTTTCACTAGACACCTCAAGCAAAATAACCTATAGTTATCCCAGATAGACTCAACAAAACAACATATAGTTATTTATGTTAAAGAATAGAAGGGGAAATACAATCTTTGAAATGAAATCTCACCACTTATTCTTGTTAACCTCTTAATGCTGAGATAGAGGATTGTCCTTTCCACATGGCTGGTCTGGGTGTGAATGTACTTGGGATTCTGCAGCTTTTTGTTGGTTTCCATTAACTCTCCTCTGAGCACATGGTGATCTCAGTTTTACATACCCTAGTTTCAGGGCTGGTTGGATGGGGGCTTCCTATGATTCCTATTGGACACTTGCCAAATGGGTACTTAGATTTTCAGCTTTCTCAGTTGCTTTGCTGCTTTCACTGGTATCCAGTAGATGGCAGTGCTGTATATCAAATTGTAGTGCGTCAGCCATGATCAAACCTGAGACCTCTGGAGCTTAATGCGTGAGTGGCTGCTTCATGAGCGAAAAAACACATCTCGCCAAGGTTGTAGCAGGCTCATCAAATTCTAGCTAGTCTAATCACCACTAGAGGGGGACAGTGTGTCACACCAAGCAGGCGTGGGTTACAAAATGTCTTCAATCATTTTCTTATCAGAGGCTTTTTAAATCTGACTCACAAGGCAAAGAAATGTGCAGCTTCTAATCTGGGCTGAAATACAGATTATCCATGGTATATTAGATTTACAAGGAAAACGTAGAATAGTTTATATTTTGGGATGAAAACACATGGCATGGATTTCTTGGAATAACAGGTAGTTTGCCCAATTTGACCTTGAATCTTACAACCACATTTCTAGCTGGCTTAATTTGCAGCTTCCCATCCATCTTTTGATCCATTCACAATGCGCAATGGGCCACTTTGCACAGGAAAGCAGGGTGTTACCCTTGCTTCGTAATTTAGGGTACATGTACACTGCAGTAAAAGATGGGTCAGTTGAGTTGGGCTTGCAGGACTATACATTTCCAGTGTAGACTTTTGGGTTTGGGCTGCAACTGGTGGTCTGAAACCCTCTGAGGGGAGTGTCTCAGAGCCATGGCTCCAGCCTGAGCCTGAAGATCTACATTGCTATTTTACAGCCCTCCAGCCTGATTCCCTTGAGCCTTAATCAGCTCACTCAGGCTCTGAGACTCAGTGCCTCAGGTCATAGTGCAGACACACTCTTGGTGTTCTTTTTAGCTAGGCTGGGAGAGAGAAAGAGGTTTAATCCATATGCACATTATGAAAGATTCTTGCCTCGGTGATTAACAATACCCTTATTTAGCCATTTTAAATTGTAATCTGGGAAAGAGGAACTCCTGAGTTTGGGTCATATGAGATTCCTTAGGCAAAGTGTCTCATATGATGTGAACCATTTTTGTATTGTTTTTATGTCCTAGATGGATCCTATTTTCAGATAAACAAAAGTGTAGATAGTTTTCTTTCTAATTTTAGAAGGCCAGAAGGAATCAGTAGCTAATAATCATTCATGGCATAGCTATATATCTCTTACAAAAAGTAAATAAACAGACAAATAAGAGGAGGCTGGGGGAACAAGTTTATTACATAGAGATGTGCTTGAATACATTAGTTATAATAAGGGTCTCAGCAATTGTAAATGCTCACCAGCATAACCAGTGTCAGAAGGTGATTATCAGACACATCGTCAATTGTGCCTCAAGTATGGATTTGAACTCGACCACCCAGAGGTGTTCAGCACTTAGGAAATGTGCTACTTTGATGAATATCTATATCTATATTCCTAAAAATCCCAACTCCTCTGTGTGGTGTGTATGTGTACAAAGTGAATATATTGGGATTTATTTGGTTCTGATTTTATGGAAACTGAAGAAGCTAAGGACATGTCAGTATCTGGTGTCTTTTTTACTTTAGAGTGTCAATTAAGCAATGTCAGTGCATGTATTGTGCCACCATTGTCCCTGACCTTTACTCCAGAGTGACCTAAAAATGGTAAAGCCCATCCTCTCTGAAAAGACTTCCAGCAGAGTGACAGAAGATGGTAGTGTGAGATATGGACACCCAGGAATGGTATGGATACCACTAAAGGAATTCCATATAGGCCATCAAGCATCCACAAGAGGGTAGAAATCTTTGATCACTACAAAACTAAGCTGTACTGGAATAAGCAATCTAAAAGTAAAAAGTTCTGCATCATTTTTAGCAGTCCCCCGAGCCACTTACTTTTGCTGTCATTGCATTTTAAATATTACTTTATTTTTTAAAAAAAGTTTTCATTGACTGCACTGTTCCTACCACTATTTCTTTCCATAATACACACTTTAAATGTTTTATTCCTTTGTCACTTGCTAAGACCCAGAGTGAGATGAACTGATGTCTCCCCTCTGCTTTCACATCATGGAGTAAGATACATTTATTCAATAATCCAGTGTTCATCACACTGAATGAATGCTAGAACCAATTGTTTTACTCCTCTCTTGATGCAATGTATCTTCAGAGAAGGTCATCAACAAAAAGAAGATAGGCCAAAGGAGGTGTTGAAGTCCATCACTTGGAATACATACTGCATAATATATGGAAGCTGTTATACAAGTGTCTCATTGTCAACAGCAAATCAGAATACATAATTATATGCATGACCATACATATCCTGCCTGTGATCTACAAGGAAGGTGTTAATCCACATGCCACACCTTCTTGCCTGCCCTGTGTACAAATGCCAGCCCTCTCAGAGGCAGGACAAAGTAATATAATGGCTCACCATAGTGTCCAGAGAATGGGCCAAAATGTTCTTTAGTTAAATCCTTACAACTACCGTGAAATTCACGGCAACTGAAAGCTGAATTTACCCCAATATCTTTAAATGGAGGCTGCATTCATTCTATACATTTTCATACTTGCCAACTCTATTTTCAAGTACAGTCTTAGTTTTTCCAGTCTGGTGTTAGTAAATATACCAGATTCCTAGTCTTTGTCTACACCTTCACTTTCCACATTTTTTTTTCTTTTCCCTTCCTCCTGCCCATCCCCCAATCAACATCTATCTGTCTAGGCACTTATACGACTCCTATCATCAGAGTATCTGAGCACTTCACAAACATTAATGAACTGTTATCCTTATAATCTTCATGTGAGTTAGGGAAGTCTTATCCCCATTTTACTGAAGAGGGGCTAAATCATGCAGAGATTTGCTCAAAGTCACAGAAAATATCTATAACAGAGCCATGAACTGAACCCACATGCTGAGTACTTGTCCAGGGCCTTAACCACAACACCTTTGTTCCTCCATTCTTAATAGTTCTTATATTCTGGCTACTACAAGGCATTTTGGGACACTGTCTGGCTCATTTGGCAGATTTAAAATGTCCTATGTGTAAGTGCTAAATGTCAGCACAGTCATTCTCCAACTTCATTCATGTCTGTCCTCTCCACCTACTTATAGAGCCCTATCACAGTAGTATATAACAATATGCTTAACCAGTGATATTAACTTCCAGATACTACAATTGACTTGTGGTTAAATGTTACTTTAAAAAAAAAATTACCAGGAATTGTGACATTCTGCTACAGAAGGGGAAGAAGCTTATTACGGAGTTAGCTTTACCACAACTCCTATATATGCTGCCTACAGTTCCCATAATGCATATACCCTGCCCACCTTTGTCATAGTACATAAACTCCAACATTCCCTCACCTGTCTTTTTTAACTTAATCCTCTAATGTAATGAGTACCTCTGATTCTTTTCTACTGCACCGCTCACCTCAGAGAGTGGGTGATATATACATTGTGATCGTTTCATATTGCTTATATATCCACCTTGCTCCTTGTTTAATGACTATTCCTTACCTACACATGAATCCTAATATGTATCATTTTGGTACTCAGATTTAATTTCTTGTAGATAGCTCCTCCTCTCCTTTCACCCCCCAGGCGTCCAAGTTGAAAATGCCTCTGAACCATCAATGTGTGTCTCTGCGCCTCGTCGGGGGTGTCAGAATTTTACACCGTTACATTTTACAGATCATTGTTTAACACTATAGACATCTGCAAGCGAGTATTTATTTCGTGAAGTAATTAACATTCCTAATCAGATGCACCTTGCAGCTGCTGTTAGTCTTAATTGGCAACAATGCAGTTACATTTTGTTACATATCTTCAGAATAGTTACGGGGGGGGGGAGGTCGGAGGGAGGGAAAAGATAAAACTGTTCCCACACAGTTCAGAGAGTTCACATAAAGAAAATCCCATGGCAACAGCGAGGCCCACAGTTTGCCTTATATAAAAAAAAAAAAAATCCAAGAATAGATAAAGCATCATCTCTTGTAAAACGGCACTTCACTTCGGAAACTGGAGGGCAAAATATACTGAGCTCGCCGTTTAACGCATATGCACAGCATCCATCGCGTGTTAGCCACTCTCCTCTTCTCTCCCCGTGTCCTCTGGAAAGAGCAGCGAAAATCAAGTGGTACCAACGTACCGTGTGTTCCAGATATTGGAAATAGAGTCACTGTCTACGAAGATAGATCCCTGCTATTTAGGACTTTTTTCCAGGATCCTTTCTGACGGGTCCCCCCCAGAAAAAAATCAGCTCTCTAAACTAATGCGTGCAAAACGGTGGTTGTGTGTGGATTGGTTAGTACTAAAGTATCCATTGGGTGGCAGTAACAGTATCTTCTTTGACTTGCAGCAAACCAGAGAATGCATTCAATCAAATAAGCCGATCTTGTAGAAACACTGGAATCATTTATGCATTGCAGTTTCTCTCTCTCTCCCTCCCTCTCTCTTCCTTAGGATATTTTGGGTGGATTGTGGTTACTAATCAAGACCTCCTGCTATTTGTTGTTCACTTGTCATTTTCACTGAAGATTAGCATCATTCAGGGCAAACCGGTATCTGATTCCCCCCCCCCCCCTTTTTTTTTCTAATTTGGAGATTTATTTATTTTTTATGATTTGTTTTATTTTTTTTCGTGGTGGGAGTGCTAGGACCCAGGAGACATCCTTTCATACAGCGGGGGCTGTGTGCTTTCCACATAGCAGTACAGTACAAGGAAAACCCCATCGTATCCGTTATTGCAGGATACTTGTGAAATACACATAGGATTCTTTCTTTCTTATTGCTGCATCCTGGATCGGGAAATTTTGCATGTGCAGCAAGAGGCTTTGAAAGGCTACGCGCTCAGAGATTTGCAATCAAGATTCCTTTTCTTGTCCTAGAGCTCTCAGACTTGTGTGGTTCTCAGTCTTCTCCTCGTCCTTTCCTCCCCCCCTCCCCCCCTTTTTTGTTTTAATTAATTTCTGCTTTACACCTGGATCGTATCTTCGCGAGCAAACTGGGCACTTTCAGAACTAACGGGAGCGAATCTTGCAGGGAATCTAAGTCTATATGGAATTATCTGCTTTGATGGTGAACTTGGCACTTGTGAATGGGCATCTGGTTCGAATTATTAATTGCTAGCAAAAAAGAGGAGTAAAAAACGTGGATTCAGCGAATACGCATTGTGATGACCAGTTACCTTATTGACTGATATCAAGATCAGAATATATTGGAAGACTGTTGTGGGTAAGGTCATTTTATATATGCAAAGCCCATCGATGGCATGGCTAAACTTGGTGTCTTGTAATTGAAATGTGTACTACTTTCATGATTGCTGCATTACACTGATGTGTGGGGATATCTAGCCATTATTGGCAGCTGAGTGAAATAACTGCAGTAGGTATTTTTGAGAGTGTATTTTGTGATAAATCAAAGCATCAATAATCCCCCCCCAACCCTCTTGATATGGGAGAGTACCATGAATTCATTCTGGGCAAACAGTCTTTCTCTGCATGCAGTATGTGTGGCTGGAAAGAATTATATGGCTATAAAAGGAGGACTAAGTAATGGTATCTATTTAACATAAAATCGGCTCCCATCCATTCGTTAAAACAAATGTGTTCAACTCTGTGCAGCAGTCTGCTGCATTTCATAGCTGCAATGGAGGTAGAGAAACCTCATTTTTCAAGTTGTTAAACTTTAAGGTGACAGTGCTGATTAATTATGCTACAGGGATATGGTTCTAACGGGTAAATGTCACTGGTGATTTTGGATTACAAACTATTGCTGTAAATTCTGCAAGAAAATTGCAAACTGGAAGATGGTGGGAAAAGCTGGACTTTAGAGTATAAAAATATCTGAAATGTCACTAACCTAAAAATCGCTGGTCCGCCTGCTTTTATTAAATATCTTTTTACCCAGTAACTTACCCACTGAAACCTCAGACCCACGTGCAAAGGAGTTGAAGATCTGCAACAGAGATCACATCTTCAGGATTGCCTATATGCATATGCAGCTGGCTGGGGAATTGTGTATACATTAATTACTTATATTCACTGTGGTGGGGGAGAACAGCCCTTTACATAAACCCCCAACCAAACAAGAAAGCTAATGAGACCAGTTTAAAAAAAAAGAAATCCAAGCAATGCAAATTGTTAATATTTCTCTGCAAAATCAAATTGATAGAGGGAATGGGGGAGGTTGAGAGAATCAATAGCGATGACGTTCTACAGTGCAATGCACTGCAATGCTAAAGTTATTTAGTGTATGCGAAAATATATGCCCCCATGTATGGCTGGTGGGTTCATGCATAATGGATGACAGAAGATATGCAGATGTATCTGTAGGAAGGCGGATGTATCTGTGCATAATCGATGATTATGTAACTTGGTTATAGCAGTGACATCAGTCGGCGACAGTGTAATAATGTAAGCATACAGTGTATCAATCACTTGTGTTAACTTTGGAATGCTCCTAACAGCTGGGAATGAAGAGAGGGGGAGAGATGGGGGCGATCTCTTGTTTAGCTCCTGTTAAACGTTTGCCTTTTGTGGGATGGATTTAACACGAGTCTTCCTCGCAGTGGAGTTTCCCTGGGACAGTGGGATAGCGGACACAAAAGCGTCAAGCTGCATAGTTGCCAACTCAGCCACACCCGTGAAGAGAGCCACATAAAATCCCTGCAATATTGCACAATGGTCCCATTGAACAGACCAGCCTGAATCTTTCAACAAGGGTCACAGTGTAACCTGTGATTTAAATACATGCCCGCAGCTGAATGGAAGGAGAGCTCAACAGACGTTAAAATTGTGTTCCTCTCTCAAGATTAAAAAATAATCTCTGTCCCGCCCCCTGCCCCCGGTAGTGTTCAAGGTAGAACTGATGGTTGTTTCACTCTGGTATTTGCAGCTCTTGAAATGGATATTGTTGTCTGCTTATACGAAATGAGTGTCTTAGAGCTTTTTCTTCAGCAATATGATGATATACTCTAGAGATGTGTGCAACACCAGAAAAAAAGTATCTTCAGATAAAATATCTGAATCTACCTGTTAAATTTTAAAAAGAACACAGAACATGGTCCTTACATTATTTGAATCTCATACAAATGGTAGTATATTAACAACTTTAAAATACAGCTGAAAAGCAAAGGTGGTACACAGTAGTCCCCTTCAGAAGGACGTAGAAAAAAATGCCTTTATGTTGAAAAGGACCACCAAAAAAGTAATTTTGTATTGATATGTATCATGGACTCAAATCCCCATATCTATCTGTGTTACTCGTCTAAGATGGACAAGTTTGTAAAAGAACTGTTGAAGCCCCTTGCTCTAAACAGTTTTCATGGCCATATTTTCTGAAAAATGCAAGCCTGATGAAATCTTAACTCAGCTGAAATGAATGATCTTATCACCTGCTTGCTCCTTTCCTACTTCACTGTAGATTCAGCCTAACAAGAATTCACAACTTCTCAGTTAGGAAGAGGTGAGAGGAGAGGAGGTTTTCATTTCTTGATAAAGGTGATCTCCACGGTCCTACTGTACTTGTGAGATGTACTACAGTAGCCAACACACAGTAACTTGGCAAAGGAAAACATCTTAGCACCAGACTAGAAAATCATTCCCTCCTCAGCTTTGCTCCAAACAGCAGTATTTTAAAGTTGGCTTACCATTTGTTCATGACTATTTTTATATTTATTTAGGACAAGCCTGGGCAGACATTAATAAATTCTGCTAATGTAGTTTAGGGTTTGACATTCAGAGAGTACCCTTAGTACTTGGAAAAAAATGGATGTGAAGTAAACTCCTGTTTCCATCCTTCAGGGGTCAGAATAACACTATGGCATCTCCCATGCACCAATACATCTCCTAATTTTCAGAAATGTTCATGGCACTGTCATCTTTCCCCACATACATCCCAAATCATACTCTCCCCATCTCTCTCTTTAATTACTTAGAGGGCTTCTTATACCTACCTACACTATATATCTTAGAAACAACACTGTTTTCTGGAGAAAATGTTATAAACTCATTGCTGTATGAGAGTAAATAATAATTAAGAGGGGGAATATAGTCTATATAGAAATCATATAATCATGTATCATACAAAGATTTGCAAATATTTTGCTTGTTGTATTAGCGAGTTGTAAGAAATCAAGTTTAACCTGAAGCTTGTTTTCTTAACCTCTAATGGGTTTTAAAGACTCCTAGTTGATAAAAATGTATCAGGGTTTCAGACCCAAGTGCTTTGTCCCTCCAATATGCACTAAATATTCCTGTTGTGAGGGGAAACTTTTCTTGTTTAGATAAAATTGTAAACTATTCACAAACATGAAAAGAAAAATTCCAGTAAACCATACCCAGGGCCCAATCCTACTCCCATTTAAATCAGTGGTGATTTTGCTGCTCACTTCATGGTGACAATTGGAAGTCAGCTTTTAAAGAACATAGCAGTGCATAAGGAACAGTCATACTACATCTCTTTGAATAAGAAAGTTCTGATTTTGTTTTTTGATAAGCAGCAGACTTGGTTTATAGCTAATAGGTAAATAGTAAAATTTATAGCACTGATCCTAATGCAAGATGTGTAATATTAATCAGCAATGTTTCTGTAACATTTATGAAGTATGCAGTATGACTATTAAATTAACCCCTCATGCTGTAACTGATGCAATTCACAGATAACTGATTAGGGTTTCAATTCCAACATATTTTGGTCTATTTTACAGTGAAGTGTTTGGGAATACTTTTATGTTTCACAACATATATGATATTTAGTGCTTGGCAATCCTCTCATTTGTATAGTGCAGACTACTTTATGTCAGTTGAAGCATCCAAGCACTGATTAATATGACTAAAAACTAGTAACTTATCTAGTGGTGCTCATGTTATAAAGTGTAATCATAGTGGCACCATTTGTGAAGCTATAGATAAGGATGTGTCAGCTTTTCTATTATAAACCTCTATCCTGTTGCCATCCATTGTCAAAGGCCCACAAAATAAGGAGGATTTATAATATAAACCATGCACAACTTTAGAGCATCATTATGGCCTGTCAGGTCAGCAATCAAAATATTTTTTTAAAGTCCTTCCATGTACATCTCTAACAATATCAAGCAGCATTATGGCCCATTAGTTCAAGGATATATTGGTTTTGCTTTAAAATGCAAGTATGTATTAGGTGACATAGGTACTGGAGGTATGGCAGCACCTCCTGGCTTGAAGTGGTTTCTCTCATATACAGGGTTTACAGGGTATACAGGGTTTCTTCAATGGCTTTCCAGCACCTATGTTAGGTGATAGGCCACAATGGCTCTGAAGGGATAATTACAATTTGCCATGTCATTTCCATGTTCTTTTGTAAAGACTCTTTTTCCTTTCTTAAAAGAAAAATATTCATATGCACAAGTGATATTTCAGTAGTGACAGCTGAAAATGAGAACAAATTTTGTGTTAGGATTTTGTTTTATTTTCATGGAAGGTTTCTAAATTCACATATTCCTGTACTGCAGTCTTGTAGACCACTATTCTCAGTGCAAAAATAACAAATATATGCATTTCAGTCACCACAACTGTGTTACACAGGAGCAAAGAAATCAGAAGTTTATGTTGGTTCATTTTTTCTCTCTATCTAATTGTGCCTAGGTATTATAGGTGACTTCAGATCATATTGTGACATTATGTAGCACCCTTTTAAATGCTTCAATAACTAGGTATGATGGGATGAGACAAGGACATAGACCATACTGCCTTCTGTACAGAGACAATCCATGAGAGTTGCACACAATGATAGTGTGTATCAAGTACAGTGATTCCCCTAGCAAATGTAAAGGTGTGTGTATGTGTGTGTGTGTGTACTTCTGGTTTTAGTGATTTCAGAAAAGTTTGGACTTTCTCAATGGGGGTAGAAATACATTTCATGAAAAGCCGTAAGAGACACTGATTGGGTGAGTAGTGATGTTCAGCAAGTGTTGTCCTTATCTCATTTTTTTCTTCTTTTACTCCCTTAACCAGAAATTAATAGAAGGGACTCTGGCATTAATAGGCCTTTTGGAAACACTATGTTTAAAGGAAGTAGAAGACACAGAACAGGGGAAGAGGATGTTCTCAGGTTAAGGGTTGCATAGAAGATGTTGAGGAGGCAGGAATACTCCTGTCTTTTGCTTCCTCCATATGTATGTTGTATCCACCTGGTGTCTTTCCTTATATATACTTAGATAGTAGTTTCTTTGGTGAAAAGACCATCTTTTCATT